AATCCACCGGACATCGAAGCAGCGCACACAGATCTTCCTATAGATGTCAATCCACCGACGACAGAAGATATCTGGATGTCCATCAGATAAATAAAGAGCGGGAAAGCAGCTGGACCTGACAACATACCAGCTGAAGCAATGAAGTCAGACATCGAAGATACCACAAGTATGCTTTACCTTCTATTCAAAAAGATTTGAGAGGAGGAACAAGTGCCGATGGACTGGAAAGAAGGACACTTCGTCAAGATTCCAAAGAAAGGAGATCTGAGCAAATGTAAAAACTACAGAGGCATTACACTACTGTCAATACCAGGGAAAGTCTTCAACAGTGTTGCTGAACCGGATGAACGATACAGTAGACGCCCAACTTCGAGATCAACAAGCTGGATTCCGTAAGGATCGGTCGCGCACAGACCAAATTGCATCGTCGAACAATCAGTTGAGTGGAACTCATCACTATACATCAACTTCATTGATTATGAAAGAGCATTCGACAGTGTGGAAAGGAGGAAATTATTGAAACTTCTTCGACACTACGGAGTTCCTGAGAAGATTGTCAACATTATCTGGAACTCATACGACGGACTACAGTGCAAAGTCGTGCATGGAGGACAGCTGACATATTACAATTGATTGATCACTGGGTGGTGATCAATGTCTTGCTTGTCTAGTCCTTATTAGTGCAGATCGAATGCTATCGATCATGTTGCAATGTGGCCACCAGTCTAGGTGACTCGACACTGCGGGCACTATGTATTGAGATTTAGATGGTGGTTGGAGGTAGTCAACAGGAAACCCTGGACTCGGGTTTCGTGCTATTTGGCACTCGTCAGCAAGGTGTATCTGTAATCTTGAGGGAACTGGTGCTCCCTGGTGGATTCGATCCCGTGTCACTCAGCTTCACAGTCAGAGACGTTACCACTGAACTATCAGGGTCGAGACTAACCTCCTGTAGGACTGAGATGTAATTACAATTGATTGATCACTGGGTGGTGCTAAATAGCACGAAACCCAACCACCATCTACAGCTGACAGATGCATTCCAAGTAAGGACCGAAGTAAGAAAGGCTGTTTACTCTCTCCCTTCCTCTTTCTCCTGGTGGTCGACTGGATTATGAAGACTTCGACATCTGAAAGAAAACACGGAATTCAATGGACCGCTCGAAATCAATTAGACGATTTGGACTTCACAGATGACCTAGCTCTACTATCACGTACATACGAACAGATGCAGATGAAGACAGCCAGTGTAACAGCAGTCTCTGCATCAGTAGGCCTCAGCATACACAAAGGGAAAACCAAAGTCCTCAAATTCAAAGCGGAAAACAACAATCCAACCACTCTTGATGGCGAAACTCTGGAAGATGTAGAATCCTTCACATACCTGGGAAGCATCATCGATAAACAAGAAGGCTCAGATGCAGATGTAAAGGCAAGGATTGGCAAAGCAAGCACAGCATTCTTACAGTTACAGAACATATGGAACTCAAAACAACTTTCAACCAATATCAAAGTAAGAATCTTCAATACCAACGTCAAGGCAGTTCTACTGTATGGAGCTGAAACTTGGAGAACTACAACAACCACCATCAAGAAGGTACAAGTATTTATAAATAGTTGTCTACGCAAGATACTCAGCATCCATTGGCCGGATACCATCAGCAATAGCCTTCTGTGGGAGAGAACAAACCAACTTCCAGCTGAAGAAGAAATTAGGAAAAGACGATGGAAATGGATAGGACATACATTACGCAAATCGTCAAACTGCATCACGAGGCAAGCGCTAACTTGGAATCCTGAAGGGAAGCGAAAAAGAAGAAGGCCAAAGAACACATTGCGTCGGATAATAGAAGCAGATATGAAAACGATGAATTACAACTGGACGGAGCTAGAAAGGATTGCCCAGGACAGGGTTGGATGGAGAATGCTGGGGAAGATCAAGAAAAGGAAGAACGACAACACAATACAATACAATGCATGACTTTGCACCGTAGTCCATCGTATGAATTCCGGATGATTTTGACGATTTTATCAGATACTCCATAGTGTTTAAGTTCCCATAATGTTCTCCTATCCACACCGTCAAATGCTTTATCATAGTGAAGGAAGATGATTTATAGTGACGAGTCCCATTCAACTGATTGTTCGACGACGATCCGCAGTGTCACGCTTCGTTCCATACACGACCGATCCTTACGGAATTCAGCCTGTTGATCTTGAAGTTTGGCGTCTACTGACTCTCTCATTCGGTCTCCTGCTTCTTACACCCTCCACTCACTTTTTGAATTTTTCAGTGATACAAATATGAACGATCTAGTTGTCCGTAGTGTGATCCGGTGAGATAAACGCAGCTTTGTGTATTCGTTTGTGTGGGAACTTTGTGCGCCTATAACTATGCATTTGAACGAACTTCATTTTGTTAATCTGTCACTATTCTCGTCCCTTTTTCTTACCAGTCCTCATATAAGAACATGGTTGAACAGGAAAGAAATTATATTCCGAATAACAAGGATAGATTTAAGTAAGAAGCTTTTTTACATGGGAAGATTCTAGAGTCTTCTCTGAGTATCGGCTAGCGCTGATTGGATAAGAAATAGCCAATCAACATGCAGCAACACAATCGTGCACAAAAAATGCTTTAATTCAATCTATGTCTCGCTAACACAGTCAGTCCATGTCGTCCCATGATATCTCCGTAACCGTTGTAATCAATTCTGACTTTGGCGTTTAGATCTCCCATCAAGATTGTCAGTTTCTTTCTTGGGCGCTTCGCTACGATCGATTGTAACCTCTAATAAAACTAATTTTTATCGTCCCAATTGCTATCATTGGTGAGTGCATGACATAGGATAATATTCATTGTCATTCCCTCCTTCTTTGTTTTGAAGGATACTTTGATGATCAAGGGTCCATGAGATTTTCATCCATTAAGAGCATTTCTTGCTTCTTTGGACAGCATCAGTTCAGTTTCATGAGTGTATGGAGCATCTTGCTCTTCGTGACTTTTGATGTTCAGCTTTGGTTCAACAATAGTGGATATCAAGATCAGTAGTACACGAAGGATTAGGTATTATCACGAGTATAATCTTCAATACGTCAACAAATTAACAATAATTTTGGATTCATCAGGACACCACTATTATTGAGAAAAACAAAAACTACTCAAAATCCTTTTCTTACCAAAGTATAACTGAAATTAATACGTTTTTGTGTAAAATCACATTTCAGGGATCTCAAAAGAATAAAGAACAAGAAAAGATTCTTGAAATACCCATGCCGACCGTTCAGATATCAGTCTTACTAAAAATATGATTCTTCTTTCTAGAAATCATATTCACGGATAGTCCTGAAGAGCTTTTGAAGAAATGCTTGACGTTGATCTTATTTCCGTACGTACAGACGGTAGTTATTTCTTGTTTTAATCAACAATGGATTTCAATGCTGATAACTGGTCTATTTACTCCCTTAGTTTAAGGAGGAGCCTGAGAAAGGTGAGAACTTTCCATAATCAATGTAGGTCTAAAAAGAAATTGTAAATAACCACTAACAGAATTCGTAAATATCAAAAGGCACATTATAATGAGAACATCCACATACGGTCAGTTTTTTCATGATTAATTGAACAGCTAGCGTTACCACGAATCTTTCAGTAGACAATTTCATCAACACACATAAAGCACTTTTAAGAACAATGTGATCTATAAAAATCAAACCAACTGAGTAAATCATTACTATAAAGAATGTGTCTTCTGTAACAATTTGATCTTGCCCGTAAAGTGACGGTAGCGTGGTGTCGAGTGGAGATTGACTAAGAACACCTCTACCAAGAAACCCGTGCCAAATGACTCCATAAAATCCCCTGGAAGCCAAATATCAGAAGGCAGTCAATGGACCAAGTCGAGATATATTTTCTGGCGATCTCGTGGTATCGAAACGATACCGAGAACGTGCCAGGATACAAGCTTGGTTACAGAACGTAACCGAATTCGCGCTTAGACACAATCAAAGTGTAAGAGTAATATCGGGTAGAGTCAGGTATCTACCTCAGTACAATGGAAGTTGGTCGCGCAATTTCGTGGATTGGTTGATGTTAGACACTAACACCATTGGATGCCGGCTCAGTGGTCTAATGGTTAAGTGCTCAGGCGCGAAGCCAGTAGGTCCTGGGTTCGAATCACGTTCGCGGGATCGTGGATGCGCACTGCTGAGGAGTCCCATACCTGGACGAAACCGCCGTCCAGTGCTTCCAGGTTTCCAACGGTGATCTAACATCAATTGATTCATGATCTCAACCAAAAACGTAACAATCTACACAACCACCCATACTGGTAGGAGTAATGGATGGTTTTAGCACAGTTAAACAAAATCACATTAAAACAGTGATTGATACAATTGTTTATAATAATAATTGTTTTCAATAAACCAGTCGTGTTCTCGTGATAAAAATGAGTCACGACATGTCATGCCTCGTTTAACAGATAATTATTTGGGAATAAATTATGAATATTTGCCACACGCAGATCTCATGAGAAGAGGAGAACATGAAAAAGAACTAAGATCGGGGTAAGATGCTGGCCAGAGGGACCCTAGTATTGCAATTTTCGAGTGATATGTCTTCGAAGAGTGTGGTGTCGTGGCCACTTTGGACTTGATTACAGTTTTCAAATTGCTTAGTGATAAACTTGCACCGGATATTCCTTCATTTTTCTTGTCTTTCAAACGGAGAATTTACGAGGGATCTCCAGGAAAATTCACAAACCCAGAACAAATTACTTGTCAGTTGACTATCGACTTTCCCATCGAATCATCTAAGAGTGGAATTCATTACCTCAGCACGTGGTCGAGGCTTCATCCGTCGACTTTTTTTAGAGAAAAATTGACCAAATGAAAAACTATAATTGACGGAACTAACACAGGCTATCAAACCTCATATTATTATAAAACTGAAACTTCCATCAATATTGCAATACCATACTTTTCAAAAAGCATAATCTGTTATCGTTAGAAGTGGATATTCCTGAATTGTTGCGTCTACTGAAAATGTAAAATCGACAATGTCTTCTTCATAAACATTGTGATGTATACATAAGTGTTTAAATGTACGAATGAGTCATGTAGTTGTACATACCGTTATTTAGATATCGGTATGTACACAATTGTGAGGAAAAGTTTATCCATCCTCAAGTCTGGGGAAGTTTTCGAATATTTCCCCTATGCCTTGGAAAATTCCCCAAAATTTCTCCAAACCTCGTGGAAGGCCTTTTAGACCATGGGGATTTCCACAAAATTGGGAAACTAGGTACGACTGCAGGTAAAGTACCAATTGTGTATATCATGGATTGTGTGAGTTGCCGTGAAAATCAAAGCGCAAAATTGTCTACTTTTTGTTTTTATATTGTAACTCAGAACAAAAGTTTCATGAAATTTGTAGACTTATCAATATCTTGTTCCGGAGATTAGCTAATTCAAATTAGCATCTTTCGCTTCATCAGTCAAACAAAACGGGGCAATTATTACATGTAAAATTCATTCAGAAAATAGCGGCCACTACACATTTATTTCATCAAAATGTCTTCGTAATAGTCAGCGTATCTAGTTAGGATTATATGATCCATATTCTGATGTAATAATGAAGATATATTCGCCGGTATGTTACCATTGCTTAAGTAACCTGTAAATAACTCATTTTCTACATGAGTTTTGTTGCATCAGTGTTTAAATACAGGTATCAAGGTTGTATTTTATCCAAAGATTTCCATTGTAAGTAAGAACCTTAATCATCGAAATTGTTTTTTTATTAGCCTTTCATAATATTGACCAAACTTTCATACTGAAAGTAAAAACTAGCTTTGAAGCCACTTTACTTCATTTATGTTTGTTTCTTTGTTATCTGAACCACGTTTGTTGTCTTTGCTTTAGTACGATTAAAAAGCTATAATTTCTGAGAGTAACTGATCGGTCTAGAAGTGTTGGTGTGTAGAAGCAAAAGCGAATTATTTCATCATAAGTTCAGTAAATCCGGAACAACAACTGTAGTAGAATAATGTGAATTCATCGTATTTAGTGGTTTTTTGTCAGCTGCTTACAGCCATATACGTGTTACAATGTAACACTGAGGTATGATACGGTGTGAAGCAAGTGAGCTAGTTGGTGAACTAAAGTAGATTAATACTTTAATACGCATACGATTGAAAGAAGCTGATGAAGAACCACAAAACATAGTGAGTTCGTACAATCTTGCCTCAACTGTTGTTCTGGCTTTATTTAAACTCATAAAGGGAACCCAATGCATGAAATATTCCACTATATATGTTTTTAATTCTTTTAGATATTACCAGGATTAATTCCTTGGTAATTTATTCTGCGATATTTATCTTTTAAATGTTTGGTTGTACTGAAACCGCCTGACGGTCATTTTTGGTCGTCGAGAAAGGTGAAGATGTCATAAGGTCTCGTGTTTTTCCGATGAAATAGGAATGGTGACGAATGCAGATTAAAGCAACTTGAACTCTTTACACCTTTCGCATTGGTTCAGACTAATTTTATTTCAAATTTCATGTATAGTAAAGTTTCCGAAAGAGTCCAGTTTTAATATTTTTGGCTCTCAATAAGTAATAACAAGTTTAAATATGCCGAACCAAACATCAGTTTCATGAGCAGAAATTTAGGTACCGCCGAGGTACAGCATTCATTCTTTTGTGTACTTGTCGGCTACAGGGAGAAACCAAAATCATAAAGTCTAGAGATCACTGTTAGATGAGTCGTATCTATCGTATTTTTACTACAGCAACAAATTTTGATATTTCACATGGTCTCTTAATTAAAATACCCAGTGAGGTGTATAATCACACAAAAACCAAGATTGTCTTTAGTGGTTAAGGCTCAAATCTTTTTGGAGCGCCAGTTTCTTCGGTGTTGCAGATATATTTTCCACTAGCAGAGTTTGCCAGGAACTCGAAGTCACTTTTGATGATTAAATTTTGTATATGTTATTACTTTTATCGCTATTTGATTTATATTTTCCCATTTCTATGACAGTATTAACTTTCATCTTCAGAGAACACTTTACTTTTGTGTGCTTGTAGTGAAAACAATTTGTATTCAAGTCAGATCATACCATGCATTACTTATCTGTAGATTTTTGACGACAAATGTATCTGGTTGTAATAGTCATATCTATAACGCAACTGATATTAGACTGATTATTTTAAAGAACACTTTACACACCTTATTATGGAAAAGTTTACCTTAGGTATCGTTCGAGTATGGTTATATTCGTGTGATACTGACGAAGTGTCTGGAAGTACAAGTTATGTTATCGCATAGATGTTGCTAAGAACGCCTAAAATGAAATCCCTCTTCAGATACATCTCAAGCGAGGCATAAAATTTGTCGTAATGTCCGTCAATTCAGGTCCAAGTCTTAAAATAAGAACTGTAAAATACACTGAAATGTACAGACACATAAAAATACCATTGAAATCAGTAAGTATAAATGCTGTTTTTTAAAGAAAATAACCTACGCAATTCGATATGTTTTGAATTAACAGTGGTGATCGTTTATTAATTTATATTATTTCACGCAACATTCAGCGTTGCAGATGATGAGTTCGCAAAAAAACGAAACTTATAGCGGATTCTTGGCAAATATTTCATTAGTGGTTGCGAAAGTGTCAGTAGCAGTTTATCTTGTCAAACAGACGCCACCAAGTATTTCAAGCTATGATTTTGTCAGATTTCTTCAGAATCAGTATATGAGAAGGGAGGACGAAAAAGAAGCACTTATTAATTATTATTTCTTAAATGAAAAGCAGCCAAGTGATCATTATTCAAATTGCGAAATCAGCTTCAAAATGGGGACTAAAACAACAGGTGATATTTTAGTTTTCTAACTGTACACTTTTACTTTATTTGTTTTACAGACCTCAGCATCTATACAGCTTTTAGTTCAAGTCAGCTAAAGATGACTAAATTCAATCTGCAGAATAAAATGATGCTTTTTACAAATCAAACAGTTAATCAGTTGAAATATTATTTACAAGAAATTTTATCCTCATCCTACAATATCCTTTTTCATGCTTTTAAAGCAAATTGTGAGGAAGGGTTGATTTCTTCAAGGAAACTGAATACCTACCTTAGCATGAAACAAGATGCAGAATTTACATTTCGTTTATGGATTAACAAATCAATGGAGCTGCTAAACGAAAACCCGGAGAATCTGATTCAATGTCTTGATCTTTTAAGAAAATTTGTTATTTCCAAGGATTTCTCTGCAGAAACAGATAGTAGTCTTTGGGATTCAACAATACTTGAGCTAAATTTGATCCTTTCCAGTTCGTTCAAAGCGCATCTAAACACACTATATCGTACTAGTATTGTCCAATTTACCACTGAGTTTATAGATGATGTATTAAAAAAACTCTGCGAAAATTTTCAGACATTAGCTTCAAATCATGGAAAAATGCTGTTTCTTCAAGTTAGCAAGTGTGCCCATATAATATGGCTCTCCGTGAATCTTTTAAAATCTTTTGATGATGATGATCAAATTTTTGACAGAACACAAGCCTTTCGGTGGGTACAGATTTTGGACAGATGGCTTGAAGCACAAAAACCATCCACCAATCGAGCAGAAAGGTTTTCAATGGTTCAACTTACTGGATTAATGTTTACTATATTTGTTTTAAAAAATAAAATTATCAGGCTCACTGCAAAATTTTAAGAGACAATAATACCAAAATACATAATGTGCATTTGATTGGTTAACTTTGTTAAATATTTTGTACTGGAATAAAATAAATTCAAATTTTTGATAAGGATAATAGTTAAACCACTTATGACTGACTTAGTTTTTCAAGTAACATCTGTTACTTGTCAGTAAGGAGTGAAATTTGTTGACTGATGAAACGATCTCAGAAAAAAGACCTTTCTTCATGTAGTTCTTTTTTCTTCCCAATAAAAATTTACGTCAACATTTCTTCAGAAATGTTTTCTACAGCACAGGGCTAAATTCTCAATTAATCTTCTGAATTTATAACTAACGATTTTAAGAATACTGATAATACAGTCAGTGTTTTGGAGTAGTTTATTTACACAAGTTAAATGACAAAGATTTATAGCCCAAGTGGATGACTTTTGTGAGTTTTCAGATATGAAGTTGTCTAAGTACTGAAAGTTCTTCTGCAAAAACCCATTTTTAGTGGTTTCTTTTTCTGAGCAAGATGATGTATTTGTGAGACTTTTATCGTCCTAATAAAATCAAGGCGGAAAGAATGGGCTCCAAGTCATTTGTGGCGAAATTTGGATAAGTAACTTTGATTTATAGTTTGTGTTGGTGATATTGTTTCGAAGGACGATGAAAGTTTTAAGATTAAACCACTAAGCTCAGAAAGCAAAACTCCATCAAAATAAAGCTTTATCCCCTCAGTACTTAGACATCTTTATTTTTAAGTATTCACTACTGTCTACGCTCTCATCTAATTGAATAACCAGCAATCTAAGGCGAAGATAGTTTTCCACGAATGGTAGATGTTGGTATTGTCCGCAAATATCAAAATAATCAATATTTTATGCCTGAATGTAACAAAAATTGATGGGATTTCAGTTTTCTTAACAATCATTTCCATGTGGTCCTATATCGTAAAAGTTTTATCTGCTAATATGGTGAAGTACGTAGCCTTAGTTACAGTCTTACCATATTTGTAAACCATTATATGAACTTATCAAAAGTAAAATAGAAAAATAAAGAACATAGATCCCAGCGTATATGTACATTGGCAAAAGTTAACGTGCCAAATTTTCGTTGTGTAGTACAAAGATGAAGCAATATTCATTTAAAATTAAATAATAATTTAACTTTTCAAATATGTGAACACTATGTGTTGAATAATAAAAATTGATTTTTAGATCCTTACCGTGAATTTTAGTTTACACAGAGATCGTCTAAGTTGTCGGTTGTAGTCATAACGCTACGGTGAATAAACTATTTAGTAAAAATCTAAGAAATCATTACTCAGAGAACGCAAAACTAGGTATACTAACTAAACTCAATTACTTTCTTCATAATGACGTAAAGTGTGATTTTACTCGTGAATGGTCAGTAATATTATATTAAAGTAATTATGAATTTAGAGAGCGATAACATATGGGTTAAAAATTTCAATTATTTAAAGTTGAGGGAGAAAGCTTTTAAAGTGACCAGTATCTGTCTTCAACTTTTGAGACTGTAGATATCAGATTCAGATGGGTGTTTTTTAACAACCTGAAAAAAGACAAACATAAACGACAGATTTACAGATAAGATTTGTCAAATAATTTAATATCATTTTGATACATTCAACAACTAAGCTTATATGATGAAAAGTGTATCACAAAAAATGTCCATCTATCAAAGTTTTTTAACAGTAGCATCTCAAATGCATTTACATACATTTAAACCAGATAACTGTAATGTCTGGTAAGAATTTTCATATCAATTTTTTTGAAACTTGGCAAGCTGAGATCGAGAAAAGGATGTAAATTTTTGTTTGCCCATGAATTTGATCACATAAATCATTTTTATTTAGTTGAGTAGTTCGTTGATCTACTTATATTGTTATTCATTTGCAAGTCATATAACGTGTCTTGAAAGACATGTGAATGAATCATAAAACAAGTGAAGATCTTCATTTAGATTTAAAGGAAACGATAGGATAACTTATTCATAACTCAGAAACCATTCGTTCTGACGAATTCAGTTCTTAGTGATATCGTTTTACGGCAATGCAACTAAAATAAAACAAAAGTTTACGGTTTTTATAATCGTCGAGGGAATAAATGTTCATGTGGATTATTCACACACCCAACAGTAAAATGAACTTCATCTCATTGGCATGGTCGACTATATTCTAGAAACCTAAAGACTATTTGTTAGATTTAGGTGTTGAAAATAACAATCATAAGTCAGAGTTCGTTTTAGATGCGTTTTTTGGCATTATGTTAAGAGAACAGTGATAAAGAATAGGATTTTAATAACATCAAGATTTACCTGTGGTAATTGTAAAGCATATGATCTGAATTCGTAGGCCCATGTAATAAAAAACACTATGATGATAAATCCTGCAGCCCACTCAAAACTTGTACTGCATAGATAAAATGAAAATCTCTGAAAGTAAAACCATTTAGGCATCAAACGTTATTCTCATGTAATATTTGAGTTCCACATTTTCATATAATTATCTGGTTATTTGAACCTTGTCACATTCCAGATTAAATATTTAGATAAAAAAGCAATCACTAGATTCTAAGATATTTTGTTCATATGAAGTTAACCATACATGAATTATCAAACAAACAAACCGTAACTAAGTTCTTTAAAGTAAATAACAGAAACTACTCGCGACGTTTCGATAAGAAACAACATGTTTTACAAACATCGAAATACTATATAAATATTTAAGTAAAACTTAGAAATTTAAGCATTATTAGAGCTAGGTAATTAAACATACAGTCATAAACTAATATTACATTTTATTCATCACAACCTAATATAGACAAGCTAATGGGTCTTTAGGTGGCTTTATTCATCTCATGACAGTGCCATGATTTCTTGCAGAAACTTTGAAAATTCAACCGGAAATAGAATGTGTATGTTAATACAATAGATCTTGCTTCACTTGGATTAAGTTTAAAGTGTGATAAGAACTAAATCAAAATGATCGATAAATCGGGAACGAACCATTTCAAGAAAACGAACACTTATGGTTCTCCCTAACTTGTGATCATTATACTTTGCAAATATCTCCGAGAAATTTATACATATGAATATAGAGTACCGCATCACAAAACTGAAGAAATACACTTACACCTTGACCAGGATGCCGATAAGTCAAAGATTCCTCTTGTGTACCGTTAAAATTTATCCTGGAAATTGTATGACATATCGAAACTAAAACCAAAAATGTCAAAGTAGTTGAGTAATTTATCAGCGCAACAAAGTAAATGAAATAGTTTACTAGTGGGTGACGAAGGAAAATCGTGCTATTTAACTTATTGACTGAAATCAAAATAAAGACAATTAAATTACGACTCCATTGCTCGATAGTACCGTACTTGCCGTGAGATTTGAAGCTTCTAGGTTAAAATCTCTGTACGGTCGTTGGTGAAGAATTTTAAGGAGATTAAAAGTAGGATGCAATAGATGTCCAGGGTTACAATTGATTGATCACTGGGTGGTGATCAATGTCTTGCATGTCTAGTCCTTATTAGTGCAGATCGAATGCTATCGATCATGTTGCAATGTGGCCACCAGTCTAGGTGACTCGACACTGCGGGCACTATGTATTGAGATTTAGATGGTGGTTGGAGGTAGTCAACAGGAAACCCTGGACCCGGATTTCGTGCTATTTGGTGCTATTCGTGCTATTTGATCACCACCCAGTGATCAATCAATTGTAATTACATCTCAGTCCTACAGGAGGTTAGTCACGGCTCGGATAGCTCAGTGATAACGTCTCTGACTGTGAAGCTGGGTGACACGAGATCGAATCCGACAGGGAGCACCAGTTCCCTCAAGATTACAGGTACACCTTGCTGACGAGTGTCAAATAGCACGAAACCCGGGTCCAGGGTTTCCTGTTGACTACCTCCAACCACCATCTAGATCTCCAGGGTATTTCCGTCTAAAGGCATCATTTCATAAGAAAACTTTGTTTTCTGAAATTCAAAATTATAACCGACTTAATACCATCAAAAGCTCATTAGTAATCTAATACTGTGAATAAAGTAAACTAAATGACTTTTTAGTACACTTAGCTTTCCTTTCACGAACTTTAACTACCTTGTGAACGTCTGTATACCTATAATCCGAATTCATGCTATACCACTTTCGATAGTTTCGAGCAAAGCATTATTATTCAGCCATGATGTTTTTTGAAGCTATGTCTGAGATTCTAGGATCAAAGTTGTCAACTATCGAATTATTTATAATCATATTATTACTACAGTATCATTATCGTATACATATTTCGTTTCACCTTTTTATACAAATATAAGTGTTCATCTAACAAAATAAGTTCTGGAGAGAAACATTATTTATAGGACTCTAAATCACTGCAGGACGCGTATCACCACAATAGTAAACAGTCATCGACTTTCAACATTGCGCCAAATATGTCGATCGATTAGGCAGTGATTTATTCCCCGGTACAACAGTAGGGTCGCATTCAGTGGAGCAGACATTAATAAAACAACTGAATAATAAAAGTGGTAACCACTAGATGTAAAAATTAAGGCGACAAGTGTTGCAAAGAGATGTCTAGTCAAAGGTCAGTGAATAAAAATAACCATGTACGAATATGTTTGTAGTCACGGAAAAAAATCATCTTGTATCCAAATGAATATATTTTGGTAATTTAACCAGAGAGACTTAAAAAAATACTTTTATGTCGAGAATTGACAGTTTTACTTTCTATATGACAAAATTTTACTAGTATTTTCTGTTTTTCTGACTTACAAAAGCTTGATGTTATTCCTGCCATAATTCCTAAGAGAAGTCTAAAAGCCCATATACACCAATGTGTTCCAAGGTATCGCTGGCTAACTAAAGCACACAAAATGATATAAATCGTGGTTCCGAAAAAAGCCATCCCAGCACCAATATCATGTATTAATTCAACGTTAACTTGCTGGAAATATAAAAAAATCGAAATAATATGAATAAATGTTAACATATAATAAGAATGTTAGGTGAATAATTATGACAGCTGAAATTTGTTTGCTTCAAACGCCAACGTGTTATCCAATAACCTGCTAAGTCCAAAAAGTCACTCACTTGCACAAGGAAAATGAATTTGAACCAATTTTTTAACGATGTCGATGATTGCGCGTGTTCTGGATTCTACTTCTACCTTAAGTGTATTTATTCTACAAACATCTGTGTCATAATGATATACAGAGACAATCCACATAAGATGCATAAATCCCGATCAAGGCTATTATTACACATATTTTTATTGGGTAATTATTAAGTAACTAAATTATATGCATCCTTTTATCATAAGCCTTCATTTGACCTATTGGATACTGTTATATGATTTGCCATTCTTAACTTATTCCAAATTTATTAGTTACAGTCTCTTACACTCACAGCCACTTTTGGATTGATTTGGTATAATTTTTATTTTTTATTTTATGATGTGATGCGGTCTGGTCTACTAGTATATAAACCAAGTGCGTCTGAAATACGCGATTCATACAGTAGAAACTGAGACTACATTTTGAACTCAATGGGCAGGGCTAGGTAAGAAACACCAATAAAGACTAAGAGTTGAAGCAAGGCTTCTAATGCTGCTTTACGTGTTATTGTGTGGTGTGTGCTACCGATGTCGACATATGTAGTATATATCGCTAGTCAGGAATAGAATATCTGGCAGTAGAAGGTCGAGGAGGAAAGGACGGGAACAGAAAATAATTGATTTAGAAATGCAGGAACAATGAGGTCTGAAACAATTAATAAACAATTTGCAAACGAAGTATTTAATGCATGGTTCTCAGATTTTACTAAGATGTTCTGCAATTTTGTGTTCAAATACATTCGATTGTCCCCATTGATGTACTTGTTTACCACAATAATTTTAACACAAGAACAAGGTCATATAAGTCGATTTTCAGATTGGCGACTTTGTCACCTGATAACTAGCAGAGCCATAAGCCATTATAAAAACATCACGGATCAGATAATGATCATCACAACTTTGATCATCATTAAATGAAGTGCACTTAATAGATTATTAAAATAATAATCTTGACTGAGTAATTTATCTCATCATTGGCATATAAAAAAGTAAGAACATTCTCGTTACAAACAAAAGAAAGTTATTTATTTGACGGCGCTTTGTTCACTAAACCTCTAAGAAACTGCAGGTCCTGGGTTTGATCCCCAGTCGAGAGTTGGATGCGTCCTGCTGCTGATGGACGTCGTTTTCGGTAGTTATCTACCTAAGGACATTTGGAGATGCAAATTGTAAAAAAATACTGATTAATATCTTCAATAATGATATGCAATTTACGTTTCGTTGTTCGATTTTACACGCCCAGTGATTTGCGGTTTTTCTTTAAAAGTTGTTGATGTTCATTTTATTTTCCATGGTTGTACAGTTATAAATCAGTCACTTCATATAATGATTATAGGTGTTTCCTTTCAAATTATGCTATACAAACGATAAAGAAAGTGTTACAAAAAGACTTTTACGTTAACAAATTTGATATTTCAGTTGTCTGAAGGCTTAACAGAATTTAGTATAATGATAAAAACCGATGGATGTAAACTATTTTTATTGACAGAACAGCATAATCTGTTTCATGAGCACAAAAAGTCAAATATGGAAATGTGTATATACTTCAAGATAGATTTGATAGAAATTATACCACTGATCATCTGAAAGTTAAATACTGCTTTTCACTTCAGACTACGAGTTAGTAAACTAACGAATTTCACAACGAGATTTGGATTCAGAAATTTTTCCTGTACTTTAACGTCTGTCCAAAAAAGTTTGATAAGCAAACTGTACCTATTCATCTAAATTATAATCCTATTATATGTATGGGCAGCTCTTTACATTTATCACAGATACATGCATTTCAAATAGATTCATTTATGTAAACTTACTTGGAAATTCCCAACCAATGTTAAACCAATTGAAGCAACTAGAGACAATAAAAGCATAAATTTAAGAACACATTTTGGTTGATGTTTGCCCATAAATTTTGTTCTCTCCAATGCGATTAAATACCAGAAAAAGGAGCATATCAAACCTATAGTAGTGAAAAAACCACAACGGATAAAAATCTCACTAACTATATCAAGCTAAAAAGAACTTGTTTTTAAGTGGTTTCATAAGAATACCGAATATTTTGCATCTTTTTAAGATTTGAAAATGATATTTAATATGTGAATGTTTATTCTGTGCAGTCAACAATAAGGTAAGACAGAACGATTTCAACCAAAATAAGAGAAAATTGACTTTATTGTAATTCAGCTGAGTTCCAAAGTTTTGTTTTATGTGTTGTCATTGTGACTTTTGAGTTGGTTTCATAATTTTACTTTATAAAACACGTCATTCATCATATGATGAAAATTAATGTTTTAGCAAGTATTTATACATTAAGTGAGGATCGATATTGTCATTGGATTTTTACCATAAGAAAAGGTTTGTATATAAGCAGAAGAATTACTAATTCGTTAAACCAAAAGGTAGAAAAATATAATTCTACGAAATCTGTAGTGCACACATTTACTATGCGAACATACACATGCAAGAACCATGCATACACTACATTACTACTTATGTACCAAGGTTTCCAATTAAACATAGCATTCTATCAGTTCACATCAATCAAATTAATTAATTAGTTTATGATTCAAAACAACAATAATAACATTAGCATGAAACGTTTATAAATTTCCTTGTACTGAAATAGAAACAACACTAGTTTATTGTATAACAAGTGAATTAAATTAAATTTTCTATCAGTGAATAATAGGAAGAAACGGCCGTCCAGTGCTTCCAGGTTTTCAATGGTGGCCTAACATTGATCAGTTCATGATCTCAATTAAAAACTCAACAATCTCCACAATCCTATACCAATATTAATATAAAGCCGGTTTTCACTCGTCTAGGATTGAATGGTGAGGAGATTTCATGAAGGATAGACAAAAGGCTTAAAGCAGTTCTGAGAAGAATGTTTCCTGTAGCCTAACTACTTTAGCGTTAAACACTGAACGTTTCTTAAACGAATGAAAAGTGGATTAATACCCCTCTGAGGTAATCTCTACATGTGTTTACGAATCCACATGTATTTGTGGAAGTAAAAACATAGAAGGGCTGAAAGAAGGGATTTACAAGGTTTCCCAGACGTATTCGCTCAAGGCTATGCTTGAAAGGAATTAAGGTATTCATAAATGCGATCACCAGACATTTGATCGATAGAGCTCACAATACGGATGCAACAAAAATCTTTAATAATTAACAAACAGTAAACATCACTTCTATTCCGCTTTTCAGAGGTTATAAATTCAAGCGCTTTCAACTTGACCTCTGTACACAGAATGAGTGTGCGGTAACCTTTTCGTCGTCATGAACGTTTGCCAATTACATTCTTTCTTTTATGTACTTAATAACTTAAAATAAAACAAATTACAATCACATACACCTGTGGCATCAACTTGAATTTCGTGTCAGATAGGTGCTTTGACTACCACTTATTTATTTACAATATTTTCTAGTCTCATGCATTTACTTCCCTTTATTATCTTGAAGACAGAAAGAACAAAATATTGATCAGATAAATGCAACAGAGACTTAACTGGCTCAACAGAAAGACAAATCACGAGCGTACTCAGGGAGTTATTGTAGAGGAAAAGTATTAATAGCCTTCACCGCATATGTATAGACTGCCGAAGATTCATAAGCAGGGCATCTCGCCTAAGCTTATTTTGTCAACGGTAAATTTACCTCACCACAAAGTTGTACACCGGCTAAAGGAAAACTTAAAACCCAATCGTCACCACTTAGCCTCTTTTTGATTTGCTGACAGTCTCAACCACATAAATATTGTTGGTAAGTCGATGGGTTTTTTATATGATATCTTACCAAAATAACACTTCTTATAACCATAGACATAATTTTCGAGCAATCTAACTTCCTATCTCTATCAGTGCCAGAACTCAAACGACTGCTAATTATGTACACGAAAGATGCCCAGTTTCAATATGATGACATCATACGCCATCAAAATAGTGTAGAAATGGGACGTCCACCCGGTTCTATCCTAGCAGATTTACTCACAGCTAACTTTGAAAAGACCAAGCTTAAAGGAGCGATTAATGAAATGATATGTTACGCAGGGTATGCTGACGATACTTTTATTGTATGTAGCGATCAACAGCAGACAAAACACATGGTTAACCTCTTTCGCGACGCTGATACAAATATTCAGTTTACCATGGAATACAAAAAGGATAATGATTTCCACTTTTTCAACATTACAGTACAACAGAGAGAGAATGGTACAGTTCAACGTTCAGCTTATCGAAAAGATATGTGGGATGATATTTATATGAAGCTTAACAGCTTTTGTTCGATAAGTTACAAAACGGCACTTATCAAAACACTTTCACAGAAAGGAACGGATATGTACTTTCAATACACTGAAAGCAAAATTATTGAACGTTGAAGAAATCCTAAGAGGCAGTGGGTAGCCAAAGGAATTTATTGAACAATTTAGGAAAAGTAAAGACAAAACGCCCCAAGAAAATGCAGAAGAAAATAAACCTATTTTCATTCAACTTGAGTCCAAAAGTGACGACGTTCTATCATTATTATTATTATTAATGGCTTTATTCAATATTATAGTTTTGGTACAATATAAAATTCTCAGCACAGGTTATTTCAACAAGTTACTTATGCAACAACAACAAAAAAACACAGTAACGAATACAAAAAAAAAGGTTTTCTTTTAAAAAAAGAAAAAAACCCGAAAAACTGTACAACTTTTAAAATTAAGGACATGTTAAGAATGCGAGTTATTGACTAGGTTGACTTTAACAATCTGTTCGTCACAGAGTATATTTGCTAGGTAAGGTATTATAGAACTTTTATACTTTTGTTTGCGTGCATGGATTTTAATGTAATTACGTCTCGTTCTACCAGAAGATATACAAGGAGAAAGATAAGAGTGAAGGGGACGGCTAGTATCTGATAAAATAACACCTGCCAGGAGTTTGCATGATTTTAAATGTCTATCCACAACCATATTAATTATGATCTCGAAAGATTCACCACACATCTTGCTAACTGCCTTCAGCACTCTCCGCAATACAGCAAAGTCTTTCCTCAAAAGTCCGGGAAAGAATAATGAAGAACAGTAAAGAATAATAGGTAATATGCAAGAATTGACAAATTGTAAGAGTAAATGACGAGTAATCCCAAGAGCATGCAATCTCTTTATGTAGTAAGTCAGACGGAAAACCTTCTTTTATAACAATAAAACGTGAGAAGACCAAGACAGATCAGAGGAAAAGGTGACACCAAGATAACTGACCTTCGACACTGTGTTTATCAAATGACGGTAAGCAGTAGATTAAAAACGACATTGACTTGAACTTATCCTATATGAAACAATATGTTCTTTACTCCAATCGAAGATCGACAGTTACACCTTTCATGTTACTGCCAACTGCGTATGCGATTTTACATGCACTTGCTGAAACATTCACATTTGTAGAACGGCAAAAAAATCCCATGTTCGATTCCAAGAACACATCCCAAAACGTGCCAAGTGAACTTAAGGCTTTTAACATTACTATTGCCAAATATTTCTGTGACACAAGGTATCAAGTTGACAGACTGAAATCTTTCAGCATTATCAATCGACAGCCAAATTCCATTTTTGTTAAACTCCTCGAAGCTATAGCCATCAAACGACTCAACCCAGATTTATGTATCCAAAAGAAAGTAGTTTCAAATCTTTCCTTACCATGACGATTTTATTATCAGTTCATTACATCACTCTTGCACCTGTATTTTTCTCTCTTTTATTTTAGTTGCATCACTACCATTAAATTATTAACTTTATTTTTAGCTAACTGATCCCAACATATGATATCCTAAAATGCTTTTGATTTATGTTCAACTACTTCATTATATAATCAAGTAATTATTTTACCGCTATCATTCCTTACTAATATGTCTGATAATCCAGAATCCCATCTCACATATCATGCTTCTTTGCAACACTCTTTATATATCTTCACTCTTATTACTCCACTATGATGATTCATATCTATTTTTACTGTTATAAGCATGAAAACTTTACAGTGATTTTGATTTTTTTAATATCATAAATTATAAGTAGGTGATGAAAGATAAAATGGAATCATGTTATTTTGTTCAATTATTTGTTTCTAGTCATTGTCTATTAGTATGATTCATAACTTCAACCTGATCCTTACATGATTTCATCTTCAACATATAAATACTATCAGTATAGAGTTGTGGAGATTAATGAGTTTAGGGTGATATCACGAATGGATCGATGTTAGATCATTATTGAAAACTTGAAAGCACTGGACAGCCGTTTCGTCCTAGTATTTGGATTCCTCAGCAGTGCGCATTAACACCGTTGGGTGCCCACTCAGTGGTCTAGAGGTTGAGCGTTTGAGCGCGAGACCGAAGGTCCTGGATTCGAATACAGAGTGCAGGATTGTAGATGAGCACTTTCGAGGAGTTTTTACAAAATAGGACGAAATGGCCGTCTAGTGCTACCAGGTCTTAATTGGTGATCTAATATCGATCCATTCATGATATCAATCTAAACATAGATACCAATCAGCCTTAGCTCCTTGATCTAATATACTGCTTCCTTTTCTTACTTCGTATGTCGTGTTGAACTAAACTTCATTGATTACAGTGTATAAAGATTTTTGCAACAATATTATCGATGTAAATTAGAACATCTGTAGCCGATGAGAAGCCTTGAAATCTAGTGAATCTATGTTATTTTGCAAATCCTGTTCTTTTCGCTTTATATAAATATTTATGTGGGTTTAGGATAACAGATATTGGGTTCGGACACGAAACTTGTTCATCCGTTTGGTTAAAGGGCGTTTTGGGAATATAGTTGATGTCAGTCAGTGAAAGCTTTAAATCTAATTGCTAACCCTCATCATCGACTGTAAATCATATTCATGATTCTTCACACAGATTTATAACTCTAATTTGGCCCTAAAAAGTGAGTGGACATTTTCAAGACCATTTTAACGTCGCTCAAAAATCGGTCATAAATTATAGTCTCACCTTACGTAATTTCTACATAATTTAGAGTGTATATCAACTTTAAAGTCTGTAATTTAATCCGTTATTTTAAAAACCCAGAATTTGATAAATTATCGCATTATAGAAAACTAAAAGAAAGTCATATTTCGTTAAACAACCGTGGGTAACTTTATTCATCAAGAGAGGGTATTCTAATAAAATTGTCATTTGTAGCAACAATAATGCGTAGAACTATCAGCTGGCTTTCTTATTTTTGAGCATGTAAATAATTTGCGGTTCGTGTTGAACGAGCTTCTTTCTAGCTGAAAAGTCGCACGATCATATTACTCCAGTTTCATTAAAATGCATTCATTTAGCTGAAACATTAAAAATCAGATTGGTTGACAATATATTTGAAAAACTAGCCACTCAATCTATTCGAACAGACGGAAGTTATTCACTTTATAATGTGAACTCTATCATTGTTTAATATGTATGTAAACTACTTTGAGCGAATAATTAATCAATGAGTATGTGCGAAACCATTATTCTGGAATACAACAATTTTTAAAAAAGCCTTTAATTAGTTTTCTTGGATTGATGGTACTAAAAACTTAAATCTATCAAACCTTACTTGGATACAAGCTGTCTTCAACCCATATAATAGCACCAATCAATAAATAATGGTGTTGAGATTTTACTTGAAACAAATATGGAAATATAAAATACTAAAAATATTAAACAAACTGGATAGATTCACAAAATCGATCAATCTAAGTCTAATAATCTTATAGTTTACTTTTAATCACGTTATCACTTAGACTAAATAATGATTACATCTTTTCAGATGATTATAGATGGCTATTAACAGTATAGATAAATAGGATTCATATCCAAATGCACTAAAATTGTACGCAAACGCTAAGCTGTATTTAACAGCTTTTTTAATTCTTGGGTAAATTCCTCCAATGTGGTATTCAAATAACAAATAGCTAGTCTAGAAAGAATTTATCTATGCATGTCGATAGATTAGGTCAAGATTACAAAGTTAATTTTCTCGCTTTTATGAAGTACAGTACAAATGGTGAAAGATGACTTGTCTTCCGCCTTATTTACCATACAATAATCAGAGTGAAAGTATACAATATTAACGGTCAGAAAAAATTTCAAACAAAATTATCTTGAGAATTTCCGTCGCATAGTAGAAAAAGTACAGAGTAATTGACCATTAGTTTGGAGTTCATTTCCAAACAAATCATCATTTTTAATACTATTTTTCTTTTCAACTTGTTTAAATCTACTCGAACTATAATTAAAATCGTGATAATTTCTTTTGCTGAATATACTTTCCTTGATAGAATTATGAAACTCAGACTTACTGATAAAAGCAGCTAAGTTTAATCCCTCACCAAATATACAACTTTCTGGTGGATAAGCACCTGTAGAGCTGAAAAAGCGTATAAAATATATTTAAAATAATTTTTACGGTAAAGTAGACAAGGAGAACCATAGATTTCTATCAAACTATCGATTGAGGCATACGCAAGTACAAATGCTTAAATTCGTTTACACATAAACTAAGCCAATATCATATTCTTATTTAAAATATAAAATAAAGCCGTTTAGCTGAAAAAGTATATGAAATAAAGTAGTATAAAGTATATAAGATAAACTTTCTGATGAAATTCAAACCTTAAACAGATCTGATGTTCATACCAAGGGGTAGACGTAGGGTCCATTGATGATAATATCAGTGTGTTATTCATTGGGTTAAAGAATAATGATGACCGCAGTATTATCCAATAGATCGATATTTTTACAATTAGTAATATACGCATACGATGACATGTCCCTTTGTTAAGGAAGAAATGACACATTTTCTTAGAAAACACTGGTCGAAGATAGGCTTACATCAAGCTTCATCAGTAAAAAGATAAAGTCCAAACCTTTAGGATAATCGGCTACCTTCGATTAAAAAAAGATGATCTACTTAAATGCTCACGTCAAAGACAAAACAGATGCTAATAATTTAGAGAATAGGACTTCGAATGTTCTTGAAGGAAAATGTTTTATAGAGACTATGAGAACCATATCCTATGGTCGACTTATATTTTCGGAAATCTCTCGTATCTGACCGCCTTTGGGTTTATTTGCTAAGTTACTTGTTCTTATGAATCAATGTATCCTGATATTTTGATGGTTAGTTTTCCTAAAAGCGTTCAAGAATATTATTTTGGGTGGGTAATTATGGACTACAGAAATTGAATTGAAAGTCTTATAGTAGAATCAATGGTGGACATGGGCTCCAGTATCCTGCGGGAACAAATGGCGAATGAACCAATTGTTGGTCACCGGCTTCCATGGGACTGCATCTCCTTACGATGCTCCACTGCCTTGTGGATCAGACTCTCAGGTCGAAGGCTCCGGGTGTGGCCCCCTAAGAAAACCACCTGCTTCGGCTTGGGCACCCGGGCAGTATCACAGCCCTCACACATATCGAATGAGATTTGTGTGGCGCATATGTATTTGGTGCCTCTTTTTACCATTATCTATGTGTTGAAATAAATAAATAAATAAATAAATAACATTAAGTAGATATTAGCTCTAAAATCAAAACAGGACTCATTTTGGTAGCATTTAACAAAGTAATAAAGGCCTGTAAAACTCAATAATTATCGCTTTATTGTGGTTCAGGAGCTCTTGATAAACAAATAAAAAGCCCGAACTAAGAATAAAAAAGAAATTCGTTTGACTTCTTTTGAGATTAAACCAACCAATAGTTTATGAGTTCTTCTTTACACATCTTCACCCACCTTTATCACGCAGTGGAACTCTTGATTTTTATTTATAATTCTTTTTATTGACTACAATTCAGGTCCCAGGCTTATCTTACTGTGAAACGCAATTCGTTTTGTAATTATCTTTATTTGCCTTATGTCTATTAAATACTCCAGCTTTTTTCAACTTATGATATAATTGACACATTATTCCAAGTCTATTATCTGTTTTTCTGTGTTTGATCTGTCGTCTTTTTCATACTTCATAGTTGTAAAACATTATATACAAATGGTTGTACAACTCTGAAAATTAAATTTCAACAAAACATCTCTCTGCTGAAAAACATTCAAAAACATTCGTCTCACAGTGAGCTTTGTGTTTACTCACAAACACGATTGCATTTCCTGATATAAAAAAATGGCTTCAATTCAAAAAGTTTAATTTTACATTTTATGTGACTCATTAGTTTAAGACTGTCTAATCAACCTGTATCATGAATGTATTTAGGTTATTTTGAATGAAATCTTACGTCGTAAGCTAGGGTTTCAAATCACTTACTGCTAACTTCTCAAGTATTTACTCCGGATGTCCTCAATGCTTCCACGCAACTAACAATAATAGTGTATGATGCTTCAGACTTCAGTGCTAAATAAGTTACTGAGGTTAGTAAATTATTTTGATCATGAAAAAATTGGAAAACAGTCTACTTTTAGGCTACTAACCAGTCAAAAACTTCAGCTCATCAACCAAATTATTTTCTTGATTGAAGGAAAAATGTCAGTCAGATTTTAAATTCGATATCATTTTAGACTTAATAAACATTTCTTAAAGGTGTGTCAGTCATTAATAACTTCATTAAAGTTCACAGCCCTGTCAAAAACATTAGTATTGTTGTTAGCTCGTCAAAAATTACAAATGATTTGTTTCAATCATCTCTTATTTGCCTATGACCGAATTTTATATAAAAACACAAATTTCCGTCCTTGCATATCTGCAATCTGCTTACGTCTTCTATTTTTTGAAAGTTATAAAACTCTCACAGTACTGTACATTGTTAGTGGGCTAACTAAAGAGTTTCAGACGGTTATTAATTTAACACAATCTAGATTAAATATAATGCAGTAATGAATTATTACAATTAATATGTATTTACTTGCCTGATAAATGGCAGTTCTGCATTTACATGTCCTCTATGGATGGAAATAAGATATCTGTATTGAAGTAAACAAAAAGATTTTGTTATATAATAAAATCATCAGGTTTAGTTCTGAAAGCAAATAACTTATAAAATGCTAATTTTTTACGAAAGATCGATTTAGTCAACAGATTACACCTTCAAGTTCTGCTATTAAGTAACAAGCAGTGAACTTACGGGACTGTATTTAACACTCATATCATATTGCTCTATTAGCACTCATCCAAAACCCGTTTAACAAATAGGGATGTTCAAATACATCCATCTGAAATGACTCAAAAGCTGTGTAGACTTGGATCGATAACTCATATTTTTATCTTATTAAGGTAAGAAGCAAAATATAGTATATATATTCGACTGTATGATGAATCCACGACTGAATGTGTGAACTACTTCACGGAGTAATCCAAAAAATCACATTTTAGTAGATCTTCATCTACCTAAAATATTTATTCACACAATTTATGACCGCTCTTAGAATGCTAAAGGGGTGTTTTTTAGTTTCAGGAAATATTTTTCTTACTACCATCTTCAAGTTAACTATTTGCAATATCCCAAACATATTGCAAATACTTGGTAATCTCCATATTTTTTTGATGCTATCTCAATAACGTTACCTAGGGGTTATGTTTAACAGAAAAGTTGAGGTTGGAAGGTTCTTGAAGTTTACTTTTATTCATTGTTACAAACTTTTAATTAGAAAAAAAAACGGAATTTAATCGTAAAAATTGATTGGAAACCAAGCTTGGAAAGAAACCGGATAGTCTTTATTTGAATATGACATGAATTTTGAAACTAGGAAATACTAAGAGCAACAAGATTGATTATGTTGATGACAACGTGGAGACTCAGTAACAATTGTATGATTTGCAAAATATACTACGTTAACAGATATTTCAGAGCCGTGAAGAACATTCAAAACTCTGGATCTAATTAAGTCAGCAGCCAAAAAATGTATTTTGGACTTAATTACTTTTGCATTTGTTTAAGAGATAAACTTTTGTTCTGCGTTTACAATTCAAATAAAACTGTACTTCATCATGTATGCATTAGAAGTTAACAAATAAGCAATAGAACTATCTAGACTTTACTTGATTTTTACAAACTATTACAGTCTCAATCGATTGTCCAACTACTTCTTCCTATTCTCGTTTAGTTTGTAAGACATAATACGTCCAATAGTTGTAAGTTACTTGAGAATTTAGGAATATATACTCTTTCTGGGTGGACTTGTTGTGTATGGGAATAAAAAAGCCAATTAGTTTTAGATACTCGGGAACTTAAACTAGAAATTTATTCCTTCCATCAACTAACAGAAGAATGTTCACAAAGTTGTTTCAAACAGAGCACAACAGTAATCATGTTACGTAAAAGACTTAAATATGTATATGTTTTAAATCTGAAATAATAAACACGGGGATCAACTTACGTTGTTAGGACTGTGAAACTCATGATCAAAGCCAATAAAAGCGCAACCCACTGCAGACCAATATGAGGACATGCAACAAACATATCGCTGGGTTCTGTGTATTAGCTGTATATAACCTGGAATATATTGGAATGCTATATTTTATAATGTCACTTTTTCACAAAACAGTATCCATAGTTTGTCAATTTTTATCATTTGCTATTCAAACATTTTTGGGGAAGAACTTAGTTAGTTTACGTTAATATGAACCATTTCGAAATGGTTGAGCCTAAACAACTCTCTATGACATGAAACATACTATGTCCCTGTATAAACAGTACACATGTAACAGAAACGTCAAATGACATATGTAATGCATAAGTATGAAAGTTCGAACTAACGCTATCAGATTGTAGCGGTAAATAAATCCCCAAACTAAATAGCTCTGTAGGTTTTCGACATTGGATGCTGACCATATGTTTTAGTGGACTCATCTAGCTGAAGGCGCTCGGTCATGCATCCGCACCAGATCACGTGTGGTAACGCTGTGCTCAACATCTACCGCAATCGCTAGTCAGATTAGATCAGGGATCTTCCGATATATTGGTTATCGCCAAATACACTCTTCCGATCTCCTCGACTCTGTCTTTTGATTTCTCTCGGTGGGAACAAAGTATATTAGGTGTTACTGGTAGAAGCGTTGTCAAACACTGAATACCTGTATCATTATCAAGATCTACAGTCAATCTACGATTTGCAAAAAATGGCTGTGATCTGTGCGTTTAATGATGATTGTTTTGAGCATCAGTATGAGCTTTATCCATAATTCCAATACACTATCAGCACCTTCTATTGATATATTCAAAACAACATTGGATCTCCACAGTGTTACAAACTGTAAGGATTAATATAGATCGATAGACCTGTCCTTATTACTGAGGACTGAAGACAATAAATGTACGTGAATTTACGGGGTTTTACTATCTTCATGTGCAGGTCTTTTCGCATGCACAAAACTACATTATACATGAATCTGGTGAGTTTTGTTCCATAACCTACATTAAATGCAATTTTCAAATTTTGCTAATGTCTGTGCTAATGCTAGTGTCTCTGTTAGATCGATACTCACGGCTAACATAGAAACGATGTGAATAAATAAACAACTTGCAGAAGAGAGGCTGATAATAAATAACGAAAGCCTTAGATTATGTCGTAACAATTATTAAAGACAGAAAGTATCTCCATAATCATATTTCACAGTCGAATCTTCGGGAAATGAATTGGTAAGTTGAAAAAGACACAAGCTTTCAGAGAAAATTAAAATCAGACATTTTATTAGCAATATATCCAAAAAACGAACCATAATTTATTGAAGTACTCAACAAGACCTTGACATGTGATAACGAAGGTATTTATGCACAAACTTAAGACAAAAAATAAGTGCAATAAAACCAACTGTCATATATCTGTGATAGACTTGAAAACAAACAATCGGTTGATATAGAAATATTTTACGATTTGCGTACAGCCTTAATGTTTTTTTTTCATATTCTAAAGAAAATAACACTGCCCTAGATGTGATAAAAACAAATGAATACTAGCCAACGATTAGCTGGCTGATGAACTTACACTAAATATTGAAGACTATCAACAAAGATTTGTAAAAATGGGAGTGTGAAATTAAGACAATCGGATAGTGTACGCTAAAAGTATTGTAGAAATTGCGTTCAACTAAACATTTTCGAATGTAAGTTACTACTTACTTTTCGCGCATAATGACCTTCAAATATCAAGACCGTGAACTAAAAGGTCAGTTTCATCTTCTGTTTCAATTCGGAAATATCAGAAGGGTGGTTAGCCATTGTAAATTCTAGCGGCCTCCTGTTTGATTTAGCCTTCTTAAACATGCTGTTGAATTAGTGAGCTTTTTTTAAATGATTATTAGATGGGATAGTGAATTTCCATCTGACAAGTAATTTGTTCTAGGCTTGTGAACTCAGATTGAGTTAACTAGTAAGTTCTCTGTCTTAGAAGAGAAGAAAAATGAGGTTATGTTGGATACATAGTTATTTCTAAGTAATTTAAAAAACATGATCAGCTTACTCTTGGTTCTCCTATATGATACTGGTTTTTGAGAGCTATGGCCACTTTGCTGAGCATTCCAATGCTTTGTTGAACAGATTTTCCATATTATAAATTCCACCAATGTAAGACCACATCAAGAGTACTTTGTCTCAGCAGCCGGTTTGTGTCTTACCAAGGATGCTATCATCCTCGAGCGTGTTCAGCTAGCAGGAACAAAGTTAGTAAAGTGATTTTCCAAACTCACGTAAGATTAACACTCAAAACGCCTGAACTTTTTCTCTCCAGCGTATCGTAGAAAGAGGATTGAACTTAGATATGCATCCCGTATCTTTAATAATGATTCGCGTACCATTAATTTTTATTTTTCGCTCCCTCCAGAACTATTCATCTCCGAGACTATAGCAAGAAAGTACAGGAACAAGTACCCGAACTAGTGGTATCAATCTCATCAGATGACATTGTCAAGGAGAATATTGACCTCCACTGGAATACGAGTCACAAGGATGAATGCAGGTTCATCGAGGTACTGTCCTTATTGTTGAAGTCTGGAACGAAATAGTACTAGTTTAGCCAGTTAATTGTGATGTTAGAGCTATGCGAATTGAGATATCATCTTATTCGTAGTTCCTTAAACATTTTTAATAGATTATCATTATTTAGGCGGTGGATAGCTTAATACAATACGCGAATTTAGGAAAATTGAACGTCAAAAAAATCAGGAATGTTCAAGGTTGGCTTAAAGCTTCACATAGAACTTTGTCAAAAGCTCTGCTGCACTCAGAGAGGGCTCCATCTGCAGGTAGCTTCTGATCTTAAGAGATGATGGCATTTTACAGTCCATAAAATGCTTATGATATCCAAATAAACTTTTAAATTCACGTGCTGCTTGCAGAATAGATTCAATATTTGTCCATATGTTTAACTTACACCTTCCAAATATTTTTAAAAATATTTATCACCAATTTGATAGAGCTGGCGAGTCAAATCTTAGGACATCTCTTCGGCGTGTACACTGTTAAAATAATTTGGGACCACCTGAGTGTTACCACAATGATCTTCCATTAATGATCTAGTACTGCCATCTCGCAATAATTCTGGAATGAAGTCCTCTTTTCTTTTTCCTTTAGTTTTTGCACAGATATAAGTGTATAAGTCATTCTACACTCCTTAACTGGTTTGTCTACATATAATCTTCTAGGCCTTCAGAGGGTCGAGACACGAGTAACTCGGTTATTTGTATCATCAACATTATTGAGCGAAATATATTGTAAGTCATTTAAGCTGAGGCTGATGAAAAATGAAGTTATGGATAATGGTTTGTGAACGCAAATTTCGAATATATGTCGCTGTAATGTTGTGTATAAAACAAGCTAGCCAGTTATTGACGAAGTTATTTAAGACGTTCTGACTGACTACGATCTAGTGCAATCGCTTGGCTTAGCATCTTCTGTTAAGCGGTGACCACTTAGCTTATTATCATCAGCATCAATACCAAAATCTCGAGAGGCTACATAGTTTTGGAACTTTCTTACGACTCCGGATCTTTCACATCTAGCAATCTAAACAGGTTCAGAAAATGTCTCATTTTTCATTCCTCGAGTTTAAATATTTACTTGTTATCACAGCACTGATGATATTCTAAAGTTGATTAATATATTTTGATCATATTCTTTGAACAGATTTAAATTATTCCAGTTTCTATCCGCGAAATTTCCATTTAACATGTACCGTCGATCTTATAATATAGCCTTTTTTCTGTCAGGGCCATTTATGGATGGCTTGAATACGATCGTTTGTATAAAATCAACTTGGCTGACTGAGCCGCGCATATTGTTATTTATAACACGTCACGAGAGTAAATTGGTTGACTGATTCACAACACATGGAATTTTTAGTAAACATATTCAGTTGATTGATATGGTAAATACCTAGCTACATATATCTTAAGTGAAAAATGAATTTAAGGAAGTCGTGGAATAATAACTGTATATCAGAAAGCGGTAATTTTGTCCGCTAAAGGTCATACTTCGCTAATCTCATTTGGTTTTAGTACTGTTTTTTAAACCCGCTGCTGAAAAACATAGAGTAAGTTTCAATAAACTATTTGTTTTGAACTGAAACTGTGTACCTATGATCTGTGGCCGTTATCTCGTTCTTCAGTCGCTCGATTGTAACGTCTGTATAGGAAAGATATTGTATGTTGTTTTAATGGAGAGACTATAATTTATGGACGAACCAACCAGATATAAGATAACGAGTCACGATTTCGTGCGTGGAATTCATCCATACATTCGGCTAATTAGAGTTTTGTCATTATAGCTGATGTCAGTTCGTTATGAAATCCCTATATCTAATTTTTAACCCCAACCATCAACTGTAAATGAGAATTCTAGCTGTTTTTCAACTCTCATTTAGTCCTAATTAGTAGTTGTTTACTCTCAAGTTCACTACAGCGTCGCTAAAAGGTCGTCCATAAATAATCGACTGAAGACCGTTTTAACTAGTGGCAATCAGACGCTATGAACCTACCTTCTGTTACAACTCAATGTCTGCGAATTTTGCTGACTATTAACGTTTGTCACTGTTCAAACATAATCTGGAAACTACGTGTAGTTTTTCTTATTCTGGCTGAATTTAAGCGTAATATTAAGTCCTAAATCTAAACTGTAATGCTTTAATTTCAAGTATCTCGTCTTTTTCCTCGTTACTCAAGTGTCAAAGAAAATGTATTTCTCATGATCAGTAAAAAGCAATTTATGTTCTAACTGTGATTCATATTGACCGTGTTAGTAATGGTAGGATCACATCAAAATGATGACTTGAATTATCCTAAAATAATTTTCTGTAAGTTCATGATGTGTTTAACGTATCACTGAGACGAATACTGCCCGTAGTATGTAGCGAACCCGATCGTTGTTGCTACCTTGACGTGTTAGTCGCGTTTACCTGTCGTGATAAATTAATCGACATATACTGGCTGGAACAATCCTCATGGTCCAACCATGCCAGACGGTTCGGTTGAAGAGCGGTAAGACGAAGAGCAGCAAACCCGAGTACTGGGAGCGAAGTCGTACTGCTGATTGTACAGAGGTGTGACTGCAGTAAGGTGTTATCTTCAGACAACCAGCATAACGGTTATGCTGCCTTCACACAATGAAGGGGTGAAGTCAGAATAGGTATACTTAAGAAATGCACACCTCTACTTATCCAACTGATATCCATCTCCGGCGGTAAGTTCTCTACAATTACGTAGTTAACATAAAAGTTACCTTAAAAGGTCGTGGGTGACCGATCTAAAGCAGTTGTCCCTTGGGCATTGCGGCCATGCTCTCAGGTCACTAAGACCACCTTTAATCCGATTTCCTTTTCAGGTACCTCCAGAACAACCCTTCCACGGTGTGAGCAACCGGGAAGTGATAACTGCCCCCATACCTCTAACAGCACTCAAGACCACTGTATTCATAATCAACCTCCGTCTTCAATTCCTATTATTCCTCCTACATCGACTTTCATCTCTAAACTTCCTCTTCCGGCTTTTCCCTCAAGTGTCACCATAGCCAACTATTCCAGTGCACACAACACTATTCCAGGTCTACTGAAACCTCGCTTTAAACTACACATTGGAGCCTTCAAAGTATACACCCTATGTCCAATCGTCCAACAGGTCTCTTTGGCTAGAATCCTAGAACCTCGTAATTTTGGTGTTTGCCGTGTCTCCGAATCACACATACAGGATCTTAGTGTGCTCAGTCACTTAGTCTCACCTCGCCAAAATGGAGGGCCTCCGTTTATCTGGAGATCCGATGACTATTTCTCTCAGACTTTCAGTTGTAGACGTGGCACTGAGTACTAGGGCAGAACAAGCACTATTAGGGTGCACCCCCTCATCAACAGTCGTCTATGTGCTGTTCAGCTAAACGGCTCCGTAAGAACTCGGAATGATAGGGACACACGTCGTTGCCTTTTCATCGCTTCTGCCTACGCTCCCACTGACTGCAGCCCAGATAAAGTAAGAGATAACTTTTACAGAAAGCTTTCTGAACTTTCTCAAAAAGCTAAACACTCATACATAGTACTCGTAGCAGGTGACTTTAATGCCCAGGCAGATAGCTTAAACCAAACAGAAAGACATTCAGGTGAGTATTTTAGTGTTCTGGCTTAGTGAACAGACAGTGGTGAACATCTGTTGCAACTCTGCTCGGACGGTCGTTTGTTTCTGACAAACACTGATTCTGGGCAGAAGGAGGGATATCGTCTAACATGGCAAACCCCTACACCAAACCAACGATGATCTCAAATAGACCATATTGCCATCAGTCATCGTTGGAGAGGGTCGATAGAGGATTGTCGCTCATTCTGGAATACCTGCTTTGACTCCGACCATGCACTAATGCGGGCAAGCATCTACTTGCGCGTCTTTGGACGCAAAAATGTCCCACTGAAAAGACTCATTAGAATTGAATTTTGTGATGATAAAACCAAAAGTAGATTCCATGGACAACTGAGGTCACACTTGGATAGTTCTGAAAATGAGGCTGACCCAGATATTGCTTGGAAAGATATAAAAATAGCTGTGGAAACAGCAGTGACATCTGCTAGTGTCATAAAGCAAAGGATTACAAAAAAAACCAATGGATTTCTTTTAAGTCTGCTGCACTGATGGATTCTCGTAAA